GGCGGCTCTCCGCTTGGGCGAACACCCAGGTGTCAGCAGGCCCCTCGCCCCGTGGGCCCGAAGCCGTAGATGGTTCTCAGGCGGAAAAGGGACGGATAGGGGCGGTGCTGCCCAGAGTAACATAGTTCGGGAAATCTGAGAAGTGGCCCCAGTCATCTCCACCAAATGCTCACGACTGAGCATCACTATATGGTCTGGATGTGCTTTTGTCTAACAATGACCGAAACAGAAATAAATGGAAGGTGGCAACCTGTTGACAGTGATACCTGTCAGGTGTCGTCCGGTGGACTTGGGTTGCTCAGGGTAGGAACACAATTTGTGGTTCTGCATGCTTGCATGTTCCTTGTTACCTGGTACACGGCAGTCCAGTCTAGGCTGGTGACCGTGGCAGGCCAACCACTAGGCGGGGATCCTGTTCGCAGCCGCAGCCTGGGCTCCCAGTCACGAGCTGCGGGTAGAGGGGGCCAAACCTTGCCGCAGGCGTTCGCTCACCAAAGGGAGTGAATGACCAGTCGTCAGTGCTGCCTGTGAGTGCAGAATGTGAGGCCTTCGGAGGATGACAAAAGGAGTGGATGAGGTCATACTGCCGCTGGGTTGGGCGGGGGGCTGCAGCGCGAGAGGCTTGTCCAAAAGGCAGCAAGCAGCCACAGCACTGGACCATCACAGACGGCGCCTCCGAGCCACCCAGCGAGCGGACCTCAATGAAGGGTGCTGTCCAACCATGTGGGTTTTACTCTGTGCCAGGGATCCAGGGCGCCTGCTGTGAGTTTGCTGCTGGCTTGTGGTCCACTTGGCAAGCAAGGTTTGCATCCTGTGTTCAGTCAGCTGAAGCAGTAGTGAGACCGAGGGCGGGAGAGCCACCCTCTGAACCCTTTATGGCCAGGCAATCTGCAGGGCACCTCCCGGGGGATTGTATAATCAAACTGTGACCTTGGGATTAGGGAAGTGGACCTGACTGGTTTGCCCGATCTTGGCCTCTTGTTGGAGCTGCCATTGGGGATCTTGGCTTTAATGCACGCTCTCCTTGACATCTGCACCTGCACCCCCAGCCCTGGCCTCCCTTCTGAGCTGCAGCCTCCTGGTTCTCACTGACTCTCCCACATCTCCATGGTTACTCTGATGCCAAGTAGCCTTGCCCAAACCTAGACTCCTATATCCACTCACCTGGTGCTGCCCTCACCACCTTGGCGCATGAACATTCTGTCCTTGAGTCTGCAGTCACCTGGGTCCTCTCGTAGGTCTCCATGCAGCCCTCAGGACAGTTCCTCACCACCTCCAGCTTCATGTGCTGGCCCAGGCTGCCTGGTGAGCCCCTTTCCTTTGCTCTGGCCTTTGCCTCTCCTGCCTTCCACCCACCTATAGTATTTTTGGACACATAGTGGTTTTTTAAAACTGCAATACTGTAAAACCAAGGCAGTACAGACTGCACCCAGCCTGCCTGAGGGGTAAAGCATCCCCACTGCTTTCCAGCTGTGCGACCTTGAGCAAGTTGCTTAACCTTTTTTAGTGCTGTGTGAGAACTGGTGAGTGACAGTGCATAAAGCGCTGAGAACAGGGCCTGGCTGAGGGCTGGCTGCCACTGCAGACCTTGGATCACGTGGCTTCACTGCCTGGACCCTCCTGCCCAGTGGTCCATCTCCATCACGATAAGAGCCAGGGTCCTGGTCTCACCTGCCCTCACTGACGTGGCCTCCCCTCTCCCTGCTCAGCATAGTGCTCTCACCTGCCACCCTGTGCTCCTACTCTGGAGCCTTTGCTCTTTGTGTTGCCTAGGATGCTCCCCACCAAACCCCACTGCCCACCTGGCCCTGTCCTCTGCCCTCAGGTGGAGGCTGACCACCAGGCCTTCACTGCCCACCCTTTCCTTGCTTTGTTTCCTCTTGAACGGGTCTCAACTTTTCTTAGTTGTTACTTGTCCATCTCTCCCGTGAAAACGTGAGCTCTGTGGCCAGAGACTTTGTCTCTCTCATGTCCTCAGCATGTAGAGTGGTGTGTACCACATGGAAGGCGTTGATGAGGAGGGAAAGCCCACAAAGGAGCGGTAAGGAGCCTGCCCAGGGCAGCCCTTTCCACCGAGGAGTCCTCAGCTGGGAGATGCTCCCTTGGGGCTGGGGAGGCTCCCCTCAGCTCCAGAGACCCTCTCTCCACAGCTCTGGGACCCTGCTCTGTGCACCCCTTCAAGGTCTCCCTTCATCAGTTATCATTTCACTTGGGCATCCTGCTTTGACTCTGGCTGCTGCTTAGCCTTTGAACAGGGTAGCAGGCGTCCCCATCCTGCACCGCATGGCTCCCATGCCCCCGTCTCCTCACATCTTCAGTGTAGCCTCTTCAGCTCCCAGAATCACGGACTGGCTCTTGCTCAGGTCTTTGCAGACCTGTCCGGTTCCGGGGGATTTAGTTCTGGTTGTATGTGTGTTCTGTAGTGCTGGGCATGCCGATTTATCTGACCTCCTCTGAAGTGACCTTTCTTGGTTGCCAGGAGACTGGCCTTACTCCACTTGGTGTTTGCCATGTCTGGCTGGCTGTCGCCTCCCCAGTGTCCACTGTGGCTCTGAGCCTGTCATCACCTGTGTGCCGTGTTTCCTTCATCCTGAACACCCCTGAGACACATACCTGTGAGGGAGGCATTGTGCTAAATTCCCACGAATTCAGAAATGGAAGGGCACCTTAGAATCTAGGAAATAGAGGGACAGATCTGTGGTCGTCCTCTTGTTCATGGTAATGCCCCTGTCAGAGTAGGTGGTCTGCAAATATTTGTTGGATTAATTAACTAAATGTAAACAGGTCTCTGATTTTTGTGTGGTGTCCCCTTGAAAGTAACCAGACACTCTGTCCCTTCATTGTAAACTTCAACGTGTTTCCTGTTCCGTCTGCAACAAATGGGTGTGGGCATGCATGTGTGTCCACAACCGTGTGCATGGCATGTTCCTGCGTGTCTGCACGTGCTTCCGTTCTGATGCCTTGCCCTCCTGCAGACCTGGGTTTGGCCTGCCCCTGGCCTGTCGTCTCAGCCTCACATCTCCCCTTTTGTCATGCTTCCCCCGGAGTGAACTTCCCAGAGTTGGCTCTTCAGCCTTCCTCTTGGTCTGCCTTCCCTCTCCTGTGGCCCGGTCGCTGATGCGTTCTGGCCGCCTGTATCCGGGCCAGGTCTGCCCAGAGGCTCCGTCCACGCTCCTCTGCAGGCTCCTGCCTGAATACTGCAGCGCGTCCCCCAGGGGAGAAGGGGCAGCGGCGAGGACGGGGGAGGGTAGGAGCCGCGGTGAAATCTTGTCCTGCGTTCTTTCTTGTCCCTGCTCCGCCTCCACCTGTCAGCAGTGCGCTCAGTCCTGTGTCTGCTGTTCTTGAGGGCCAGCCCGCTGCCAGAGCCTCTCTCACCCCTTTGCCCTCTGGCCTCAGGTGCAGCCATAGGGAGGACTGAGCTGTGGCACGGGAGGCACTTCACCCCAGTGACTTCTTGTTGCCCCAGGACTCCCTTGTGCCGTGGCCTCAGCTGTCTCCCGTAGTCCCCCAACCCTGGCCAGGCCCTCTTCCCTACAGCCCCCGCCCCCTCCTCTCCTGGGACTGAACCAGCTCGCTGCATCACTGTCCCTGTCCCTGTGCCCTGGGGTCCCGGGGTAATACAGCCCCTGGCCCTGCCTCTGAGGCCCTAGTGCCACAGAGCTGAGCCGAGGGTCCCACGCTTGCCCTCTGACTGACCCGGCCCTAGCAGGTGAGTGGATCGGTGTCGCTCTGGTGGCTGGAGGGAAGCCGCACGCCAACTGTGTGCTCTGGAAAGGGCGGCCTTGCACTGCGTGCTGGCCTACCTAATAAACTGAGTGGGTGCTGCGGTGAAGCTTAGTGCAGTTTTTTTTTCCTTAAATCCTTTTTGAGTCTAAAGGTAGTACTGTTTTTGTGCTTCTGAAGTTGGAGTTATAGTGGACAAGTAACGTATTTAACTTTGGGTTTAAATTATGATTTAGGTTCTGAAGGAAAAGTAGAGTTAGCTTGTTTTGAAGCCTGAAAGGTTCTCTTAGGCAGTATTATTTCAAGTTTTTTAAATCTGCTGTGAATAGCACTCAACTCCTGGTACCAGGGAAGCAGAAGATTCTGTCATTTGTGACGATGTCTTTACGTCTCTTTGCAGGTGGAGGAAGACAGGTGCCCCTTGGGCACGAAGACAGGCTCGCTTAGTCGTCAGTCATTTAAGCTGAGTGCATTGTGATTTCCAATAATTGAGGCAGTGGTTCTAAAAGCTGTCTACATTAATGAAAAGAGCAATGTGGCCAGCTTGACTAAGCCGCCAGCGTGTGCAGCGCGGGCAGGACGGCGCCTGGGTCTCGGCGGACTTGTGCATGTTAGCTGTGTAGATTTATGTAAGGTTTTTAAAACTCTGGTCTTTTAAAGTAGTCTTACCCACTTTCACTATGGAGACATGTGAGAGTCCCTCTCCTCTCCCGCGTGAGCCCGCAGGAGGAGCGGTGATGGAGAACCGAGCTTGCCCCCTCCAAGCGCTGCCCCGTGAACAGTCTCCACCACCTCCCCTGCAAACGTCCAGTGATGCAGAGGTAATGGACGTTGGCTCTGGTGGTGATGGACAGGCCGAACCCCCTGCCGAGGACCCGCTCAACTTCTACGGAGCGTCTCTTCTCTCCAGAGGATCCTTCTCTAAGGCCCGCCTCCTCGTAGACCCGAACTGTAGTGGCCACAGCCCGCGCACCGCCCGGCACGCACCTGCGGTCCGGAAGTTCTCCCCTGACCTTAAGTTGCTTAAGGATGTAAAGATTAGCGTGAGCTTTACCGAGAGCTGCAGGAGTAAGGACAGGAAGGTGCTGTACACAGGAGCGGAGCGCGACGTGCGGGCGGAGTGCGGTCTGGCCCTTAGCCCTGTCAGTGGAGACGTGCATGCTTGTCCCTTTGGCGGGAGTGTCGGTAACGGGGTAGGCATAGGGGGTGAGAGTGCTGATAAGAAGGATGAGGAGAATGAGCTGGATCAGGAAAAGAGAGTGGAGTATGCAGTGCTCGATGAGTTAGAAGATTTTACTGAGAATTTGGAGCTAGATGAAGAAGGAGCAGGCGGGTTCACGGCTAAAGCCATCGTGCAGAGAGACAGAGTGGACGAAGAGGCCTTGAATTTCTCCTACGAGGTATGTTGGCGGCCCCACTTTGGAGCCCTCTTAGCAAAACCCAGAGAGGTATTTGGGACCCGCAGTATCTTTTGAAAGCTGATGTTGCAGAGGAAAAAAAAACACCCATGTGAGAAGAGAAAGCTGTAAGGAGTCCAGGTTTCCAACTTTGCTAATGACAGTCTGGCTGACAGGTCTGCCTCGTGCCCTTGTCCCAGCTGAGCTGGAAGGAGCTGCTGGCTGCGCTCCCTGGTGGCGCGAGCACCGCCTGAGTGCGGTTCAGCTGTCGGTTTCACCCCATTTGTTTTTCAGATGATCCCGCACCATAGAGGCCCACCTAGGCCCCCAGGGCACTTCCGTTCTGTGTCATCACTGATGTTTCCCTGTGATGCTTGCCTGTGGGGCAGGAGCGCGGGCACGGGGGCTGGGGTCTGAGCAGCATGTTTTGCAGGACGACTTTGACAACGATGTCGACGCCCTACTGGAAGAGGGCCTCTGCGCTCCCAAGAAGAGGCGGGTGGAGGAGAGGTACGGGGCAGACAGTGACCATCCGTCAGACGGAGAGACGAGCGTGCAGCCCATGATGACCAAAATCAAAACAGTACTCAAAAGTAAGTGGGGTCAGAGAGTGGGGAGTGTTTGCGGTGGCGCGGGTGCTGGCCTGAGAGCCCTCAGGGTGCCAAGCAGTGGTCAGGGTCGGCCGGTCTGCTGAAGGGAGACAGACCAGACATAAGCACATGTCCAGGCGCAGGACAGCCCAGCAGCAGGTGGCATGAGTGCTATGGAGACCAGAGGGGCTGAGGTCGTGCAGCATAGCGGGGCCTTCCAAGGTGGGTCAGGGACCCAGGAGCCAGGGAGGAGGCAGCCAGGGGTGTGGAAGCCAAGGGTAGGGGTGGGTGGGGTCCAGGTGCTAGCTTCTGTGCTGAGAGTCAGGGAGCCACTGGAAGCAGACGTGTCTGAAAGCCTGGCTCCAGTGCACAGCACGGGTGGTGCACTTCCGTGGACAGAGGTGGAGGGGTCGGGTGGTGGTGAGGGGGTACCGTGCCCTGCAGCCCCCGCTGATGCGACGAGGTCAGAGGTTCCTTGTTGGTTTCTGCCTTGGCCTGGAGGCGCCGGTGAGTGTCCAGGTGGTGTGTCAGGTGGGCAGGCAGGCAATAGAAAGGGGCTGAGAAGACACATGGGACTTGGCTCAGAAGGTGGCGAGTGTGACAGGAGCAACCTGGGGGCCAGACATGTTGGCAGTGCTGGGCCAGGCTCTGTCCGAGTGGGCTCTGGTCCCTTGGCCTCTGGGAGTGCTGTCTGAGCAGACAGCCACCTTGAGCAGTGCCCAGGTCAGCGGGATGCCTGGCCAGGCCTGCAGGTGCCTTTCCCACAGCCTCTGCCTCGCCTGCCTGCCCTGCCATCCTCCCAGGAGCTGCCACATGGACTGCGCCCACCTACGGTGTGAGCCATACACAGGCTCTTTGGCGGCTGGGCCAACACTGTGACTCCTTGCATTGAGCAGGTGTGAGGTGGCTCCAGGCCCCACCGAGGGAGAGTGTCTGGCAGTCCGCGGCTGTCCAACCTCGCACAGCTCCCAGGGCCGCCCCACACCCAGGTCCATCTGGTGCTGGCCTGGCACTGGAGTACTGCTCCCTTTTCCACGAGAGTCACTGGTGCTGTTTCACCATGTAATACATGTTTTTAGAGTTCACTTGGTTTTTTACTTTTGTTTCTAAATTTTTAACTTGCTCCTGATACCTGTAAGAAAATTAAGTTTTAGTTAAATCTTTGCCATGGGCTGTTCCCAGCAGCCAAGCCTGTCCGTGGCGGATGTCAGGTGGATAACGAGTCTGATGACTGTGAAGCAGGAAAGGGCAAGAGTGGTGTCTTACACTGACTTAGAAGGTGGTGAATTTGAAGTGGTGCTTTGTGCGCTGGTGGAAGTGTTGCCACCTGGTCATGGAGCAGTGGTCCACCGACATGCAGTTATTAGCAAAGCCTCCCCAGCCCCTGCAGTGCCTCTGACCATGGCGAGGCGAGCAGGCAGAGGGCCCAGTGTCCGTGGTCCTCGACAGCTGTGAAGGCAGAGCCAAGGTGAGGCCGTGCCTTGCAGAACCCTGTTCTGGGCTCCTTGGTGTGTATGCCCTGTTCTAGGCGGGGGGTACAGCAGTGAGCAGGACGGACGGCTTCCTGCTGCAGGAGGGACTAGAGTCTAAGTCACACACAGATGGCAGACAGCACGGTTGTGCACATGGGAGGTGCCTCGTGGAGGCTTGGCAGGGACAGGCTCTGCCCAGGGGAGGGCGCAGTTCCCCTACTCCTGCCTCTTAGGGGTCCTCTTTTAACGTTTGATCGACCTCACTGCTGCTGTCTGTCGCGTGTCATGACTTAGAAAACCTCCTGATGGTGTTTAGGTGATGGTTGGTGTTCCTGTCCTTCGTGCAGGTCGTGGCCGCCCCCCGACAGAGCCGTTGCCCGATGGGTGGATCATGACGTTCCATAACTCCGGAGTCCCTGTGTACCTGCACCGAGAGTCGCGGGTGGTCACCTGGTCCAGGCCGTACTTCTTGGGAACGGGAAGCATACGGGTAGGGGACGTAGCGGCTGTGCACTTAGTCTCGTAGGTTTGCAGGAGGAGCGTGCACACCTGCACACGCTGCGGTGCAGCCCAGCAGAGTCAGGTGAAAGACGTCGGACGGGCAGACCTCCGGGGCTGGGCTTGTGATGGGTGTTGCAACTTCACTGTCCACAGAAACACGACCCTCCTCTGAGTAGCATCCCCTGCCTGCATTACAAGAAAATGAAGGACAACGAGGAGAGGGAGCAGAGCAGTGAGCTCGCGTCCGGTGGGGAGGTGTCCCCGGCCAAGCCCCCAAGCCGGTCTGCGGAGCTGGAGCCCCCACCGGAGGAGCCCGACTCCTTGGGGGCCGACTCGGGGCCCCCAGATGAGAAAGACGCACTGGGGGCCGAGGCCGCCCCTGGGGCCCTGGGGCAGGTGAAGGCCAAGGTGGAAGTGTGCAAAGATGAGTCAGTCGGTAAGTTTGCAGAGTGAACGTCGGGACGGCGGTGGCCTGTCTGGCCCTGCAGGCCTGTGTGGCCGTGATGCCGAAGATACGGCCTTTTCCTCTGGCCACGGCCTCCATCTTTCTTGAAGTCCTGCTTTTCTGGGGCTACATCTGGCGTGCTCAGCGTCGGGTCTGCGCTGTGTGGCATGGGTGCTGCCTTCCCAGACCTAGGGCCACGCTCTGGGTGTGTGGTGTCCCCTCTCCGCGTGTCCTCCTGGTGGCTCACTGACTCAGCCCACCTGCTGCTCCTCTGTCAGGAGTGCTGTGTGTCCTCAGGATTCCTGGTTGTCTGGGCTGCTGCCTGGCCTGTCTTGTAACTCTTGTATGTGAGGAAGGGTAGGTCGGCCCCTGAGGGGTGGAAGGAGGCCCCTGAGGAGAGGGCTGTCACAGCTGGGAGGGGCCTCCCTGTGAGATCACTGAGCAGTGTGCTTCCTCACACGGAACACTGAGGGTGCTCCTGTCTTTCTGGAAACACCTGCCTCCCACCTCTCACCTTGTGCACTTGTTTCCAGACTTGCTTCTCTGCACTCATGGATAAAGAAACTTGTGGTTTCGGTTCATATTTATTAAGCGTGTTACGTGGCCCATGTTGATTGCCACACCCCCTTCCACTGCTGCTTGTGGGGCCGCCGCAGGGCTCACACTGGCATGGTGGGACACAGGCAGGTCCTGGGTGAAGCTGATGGGAACGCTGTGGTCCTCCCTAAATGGGGTGAGGAGGAGGGGACATGGCAGAGACCGGGCCAAGCCAGGCCTGTAGGGAGAGGCGGGGCCAGGCCTGGGAGCACTGGGGACTTACGGTGCCTCGGCTGCTGCAGGGCGTCCGGTGCCCATTTTAGAGGGAGGACAGTTTGTGAGGCTGCTGTCACCACTGCTGCTGTTTTAAGCTTTTTTGCTTGCTTATTTTTGTATTCTTGTTCTTGCTTTGAATAAGATGAAAGGATGTCCCAGAAAGTTGTCCGTGGGGACCTGCCTGGATCATTTGAGCTGGCAGAGGGAAGGGGCCTGATTCCTGGCCTCCCTCCTTGGGGAGGAAAGGGCAGGGGCATCATGCGGCCAGGACCAGTCCTGCTTGCCGGGCAGAGGACAAGACTCTCAGGCTGGGAATCAGTGACTCTGGTCTCTGGTGAATCTCTGCAGACCTCGAGGAATTTCGGAACTACCTAGAGAAACGCTTTGACTTCGAGCAAGTTACCGTGAAGAAATTCAGGACGTGGGCTGAGCGTCGGCAGTTCAATCGAGAAATGAAGCGAAAACAGGCCGAGTCAGAGAGGCCCATCCTGCCGGCCAACCAGAAGCTCATCACTCTGTCTGTGCAGGATGCACCCACGAAGAAAGGTGAGCCGGGCTGGGGGATTCTCAGGTCGGACCGGTCCTGCTGGCGTTCTCTTCACCCGACGTTCTTGGGACTGGTGCCTGGCGGGGGCTGTGTCTGTTCACAGCCCGTCTGCCCTGCATGTGCGCCAGGTTCTCACCCGCAGAAGCAGGGCGTGGCGGGGCCGAGGGCTGGCTTGCCGCAGTCACATGCCGCAGCTGAGGCAGCCCCTCTTGTTGCAGAGTTTGTCATTAACCCCAACGGAAAGTCTGAGGTCTGCATTCTGCACGAGTACATGCAGCGAGTGCTCAAGGTCCGCCCTGTGTACAACTTCTTTGAATGTGGTGAGTGCCTTTCCGTCTCATCCTGAAGAGTCAAGCCTGTCACCTTGGTCACGGGGGAGGCAGGAGCTGACTGTCCGCCCCGTCTGCTGGGACAGAAATGAGGGTGAGGTCGAGGAGGGACATGCCCTGTCCAAGGGTGACCGTCCTACTCTCCACACCCCCTCCCCACCTTCCTCTTGTCCCTCCCTGGCCACCGCGCCTCCCGAGGACCCAGGTGGATGAAGAGCTGCAGGCCTGCACCTCCCACCAGCCTCCCCCGTGGCTACCTTCCTTGCTCCTCCAGGAGGACCGGGTTTTCTCCCCTGGGAAGCCAGGACCTTGGCATCACTCCTTTCTCCTGTGTCTTTGGTTCCCGCCTCTCACAGTCCTCCGTCTGCCCGTCTTTCCCAGAGCTTGATCCCTTCCCTGGTGGCTCTGCCTCTGGCCTCCTGTCTCCCCTCCAGCTTACTATCCCAGGGCCCCTGTTTGTCCATTTCCTGGTTTGTTCTCTGCCTGCTGACTGTCCCTTAGCCCCAGCTCAGTGCCTTGGGAACCCCAGACCTCTGCCTTCCAACAGCAGCCCTGCCCCCACCTTGCCTGTCAGTGTGAGCAGATTGTGTGTTTGCACGTATGCTTTTGGTGTCTTGGCAAGTGTGTTTTCAAATAGCGATTTTAATTTTAAGAGAACCCAAGTGAACCTTTTGGTGCCTCGGTGACCATTGACGGTGTGACCTATGGATCTGGAACTGCGAGCAGCAAAAAACTAGCGAAGAACAAAGCTGGTAACGTACCCACTTGGTGTCGAGACCTCACCTTCGGTTAGGGACGGGTGGGGTGGGGCAGGCCCGTCTTACCTGTGTGATCACTTGCTTTGACTTTTTGTAACTGTGTGCTCATTAGGAAAGATTCAAATAGAAAAAGTAGAAGGTGAGAAGTCAAAGTAGATAGTCCTTCTCTCAGACGTCTGGGCCTCCTGCCCCATCCCCGACACTCACAGGTGTTGGGTGGGCTCAGCGCTGCTGGAGCCCAGCTGGGCCTCCTGTATTGAAGCTGAGCACAGCGTGGCCGTGCTGAGACCCGCAGTGGGCTGCCACCATCCCCCTCAAGTGGAGTTGACATTGATGAGGGCCGTTCCAAGTCATTCAGACTCCGAGTGTGGACTGCTGCCCCTGGACGCAGCCTGGGAATGCCAGGGCTCTCTGGTTAAAACTGTCGCCCCTCCTGACCGCGTTCTCTCGCTTGCTTTTTCCCAGCACCGGTAGTTGTTGGAGGTCTTTTCTAGAAGCCGTTTGGCCCAGCACCAGCGTTGTTGGCCTCCTCTGGGGAGCGAGCCTCACGGCCGGTGCTGCTATGTGCACCCAGGGCCCCCACCTGTGGGCTTCTGCCCCTTTCCGGGGGCGGAGCGGGTCAGTTACCTCACACCAGAGTCTGACTGAGTCTCGGGGGATCTGTGTCTGCGCTCCCAGGGCTCAGGGGTTCCCTGGCTGTTTTCTTTGGGTGGCGGATGTTAAAGACGATTGGAATCCGGCGTCCCTGTCTGTCCTCTGCTGCGGGCGGCTGTGCTGGGCTCACACACTTTGCCCCAGGCTCCCTTCTGTTTTAGAGAGAACCTCCCAAAGGCCTTTTCCAGCGTTACAAACGGGGTGTTCCGAGCTTTGCAGCCGAAACCTGCGAGGGGGCCACGGGCAGCGGGGACTTCCTCCTCCCCATGTGCTCCCCCCTGGACACCTGCGCCCCACTCTGCTGGCACTGACACCCTGTGCTCCCTCCCTGGATGCTTCCCCAGAGTATCTGGCGTTTGGGGCCCTACCTACTCCAGGTCCTGCGGATCCATCTGCCTGCCCACCACGGGGCCCCGTGTGGCTCATAGGGCCACTGTCCTCGCCCTCGCCCTTGCCTACACCCTCACCCTCACCCTCAGGGTTTCTCTTTCCATAGCTCGGGCTACGCTGGAAATCCTCATCCCTGACTTTGTTAAACAGACGTCCGAGGAGAAGCCCAAGGACAGCGAGGAGCTGGAGGTGAGTGCTGCCACCCCGCCCGTCAGCCAGGCTGCCCAGCCTCCAGGTGCTCCTGCCTCCTGTTCGTGACAGGAGGCCTGCCTGTCTTCGCGCATGCAGGCCGAGAGGTCGCTTCTGTCAGAGACGCTTGTCCCCGCGTCTTGCAATGGGTGGTGGAAGTTCCCAGTGCCAGGAAACGTGTGGGAAGTGAGTCAGGATCTGCGGGGGAGGGGACCTTTGAGGCGACATTGTCCTTTACATTGAAAACCATTTAAAACTACTCATAAACTTTTTGGGGGAAATAATGATACTGTGCTTATTTGTAGCAAGGGCTTCTCACTCTAAAGTTTGCATTCTTTTTAGAACACCTTTGTTGGTGTGTAATTTGTATACCATAAATTTTGCCCTTTTAAACTGTGCAGTTCAGTGGGTTTTTGTAACTCTGAATGAGAGTTGTACAGCCATCCCCAAAAGAAACCCTGCCCCATTAGCAGTCACCTCCACCCTCCCTGTTCCCAGCCCTCCACCCCGGCCACCCCCAGGCTCCTTTCTGTCCCTGGATTTCCCGGTTCTGGGCGTCCACTCTCGGGGGACTCAGCCGGCTGGCGGCCCTTTGTTCCCGGCCTCCACGGAGCTGGGGTGAACTGTGGGTCCTGTCAGATTGACGGGGCTTCTCTCCACTCCTTGTTTGCTGAGAGTTTTTGTCAGGAATGGATGTTGGGTTTTGTTTTTTCTGCTTCTGTTGAAGTGATCACGTGTTTTTTGTCTTTACTGACATGGGGGTGTGTTTTGTTGACGTCTTACTGTTAAACAAACCTTCCTGGGGTAAATCCCACCTGGTCATGGTGTACAGTCACTTCTATGTGTTGCTGGATTTGGCCTGCTAGTATTTTGTTAAGGGTTTTTGCAGCTGTATTTGTAAGAGATACAGGCCTGTATTTCTTTCCTCGTGATGTCTCTGGTGTTGTTACCAGGGGAATACTGGCCTCTTCTGTTGTGTGGAATTGTTTGTGAAGGATTGGTGTTTTTTTCAGCATTTGATAGAATTCCCAGTGGAAACATCTGGGCCTAGATGCACACTCACTGTGCCCCCTGTGACCCACTTGGTCTCAGTGAGGTCGTGAAGTCCCCACTGGGCCAGGGTCAGTCTGACTAAAGTCTTGTCACTGTTGTTCATCCTTTCAAAGGTCCAGCTTGTGGTTTTGTTGATTTTTCCTGTTGCTCTTTTATCCTTTACTTACATCTACTCTAGCCTTTATTATTTCCTTGTTTCTGCCCACCTTGGGTTCAGTTTGTTCTTTTTTCTAGCTCCTTAAGCTTAGGGTATTGCTTTGAGATGTTCTTTATAAACACAGAGTTCACAGCTATGAGTTTTCTTCTCTGTTCTACTTTGCATCCCATGATTTTGCCTCAGTCTGTGTTGTGTCTCTGTTTTCATTCCACCTTCAGGCACTTTTCTAGTCTTTCTGGTGGTTCCCTTTGTGAACAACTGGCTATTTTAGGAGTGTCTGCTTTTCACATGTTTGTTAATCTCCGAAGTTTTCCCCAGTTACTGGTGTCTGGTGTAAGTCCACTGTGGTTGGTGTGATTTCAGAAGGCATTTGTAAGTTTATCAAGGCCTGTGTGGTGGCCACATGTGAAGGGCAGAGTAACTGGACATCTGGCTGGAGCTGGTGTGGTGTTGCTGTGTCGGTCCTTGTGGGTCTGCTGTCCGTTGTTGCAAGCAGGTCCTGTTTCTCCTGTTTCTCTTGTCTCTCCGGTCAAGTTTTGCTGCATGTATTGCGGTGTTGAGGTGCGTGCATGTTTGTGATACTGTGATGTAATGAGAGGTACCTGTTTGGTTTGTATCCCCAGTTCCTGTAGTAGCTCCAGGTGCTGAGGGTGAAGGGATGTCCTGCTGTTTGGCGTCCCCCAGCTGCACCTCATATGTTCCCACTGTGATGCCGGGGGGCCCGGGGGGGTGCTGGCGGCCAGGGACCCACCCGTGCAGTTAGAGGCTGGGCTTTAGCCTCATCCTCCCCCTCTCCCAGGGTCAGGGAGGGGCGATGTGGGAGGCTGAGTTACTCACCTGTAGCGTGGTGTGGTCGGTGGAGCCCGTGTGCGGTCCCCATGAAGACCATGTTGGGTGCACTGAGGAGCCCAATCTGGTGGGCATGTGGGTGTTGGGAGGCAGCGCTTAGAGAGGGCAGCTTCTGGTTGCCGGGATCAGCGCCACCTTCAGCTACCACAGTGGGGTGCGGTGATGCAGCCACAAGCCGAGGATGCTGGGGGCCCCAGAGGCTGGTGAGTCCAGGAAGGGTCCTCCTGAGAGGCTTCAAGGGAGCAGGGCTGGCCAACACTTGGCTCCCGGACTCTAGCCTCCAGAGCCAGAGGATACGGGGCTGTTGTTCGCAGCCCCTCCAGCGCTGTGGTTCTCTGTTACCGCTGCTCTGCGAGACAGACAGCCCCGCCAGGGAGGCACCGGGCCACTGGGGTCAAGAGCCACCTGTGGGCCATGTTGGCCTCTGCTCCGCAGAACTCCCTTTTTCTCTTAAACTGGTTGGGTTAGTCACCCTGGGAACCTTCCTGTTCTGTTGTCTCTGGTCAGCTTCCCTCCTGTAACCTCACAATGATTTCCATGTTTTTCCTGAAGGTTGTGTATCTTGAGATTCCTGACCAGCTGTCTGAGCAAACTCAGACTCCGAGCAGGCTCCCTGGGCTGGTGGGCAGGCGGCCTGGGCCGTGGCCACCACGTCCCATGGGAGCAGCTCTGTGGGGCTGTGGCTGCGGTCCTGGACGACAACTGGCTGCTTTCTCTTGTAGTACTTCAACCACATCAGCATCGAGGACTCGCGGGTCTACGAGCTGACCAGCAAGGCCGGGTTGCTGTCTCCCTACCAGATCCTCCATGAGTGCCTTAAAAGGTGGGGCGGGCTCCCCCGGGTGCCCCGCACACCACCGCTCCCGTCTGTCCACCCCGCTGGGGGGCGTGTATCCAGAACCCCCTCCTCTCGAGCTGAGAAGCAGTTTGGGGAGAAGAGCTGGCGTCTTGTGGGGCCCTTGGAGGGTTTTCTGGAAGGAGCCATTTCTTCCCGCTCAGCTGATGTCAGCGGCTGTTCCTCCCACAGAAACCATGGAATGGGGGACACCTCCATCAAGTTTGAAGTGGTTCCTGGTAAAAACCAGAAGAGTGAATACGTCATGGCGTGTGGCAAGCACACAGTGCGCGGCTGGTGTAAGGAGTCCCCACCCCCAAACACACTTTCAGTGGCCCTGGGACCACTGCCCTGGTATCACCTCAATATCAGCTGTGCGTCCCGACTGCCTGCAGTTGTGCCCAGCATCTCATGCTGATGTTGAAACACAGCCAGCCTGAGGCGTGGCTGTGGGCGTCCGTCTCCTGAGCCTGGGCTGGTCGTGTTGGTGAGGCTGTGTGCTCCCTCCTACAGTCACTGCCCCTGCCCAGCCCTCAGTCCCTGTGGAGGGAGCAGGGGCACTGGCTGTGTTCCTCACCTCATTTGGGTTCTGGATATAACCTTATTTAAAAGAAACTTCATGTAACTCCTGTAAACACAAGACCAGTGCTGGGTAGGTCAGACGGTAATGCACAGAGAGGTCCTGGGAATTTGAATAACCATCAGACCTGGATGTGCCCTGTGCCCCAGCAGATACCAGTCCTTGCTGGGACCAGTCCCCAGCAGGTGGACAGGGCGTGGGACAGAGGAGGGGTCCTGGCACCGTGACCCCTTGTCCGAGCCAGAGGCCCTCTCTGGGAGGAGGCTTGGCCTTGGCCCACTGGCCAGAGGTATCTCCAGACCCACTCTGGACCCTGGTCCTGCCTTACCTCCCTCTGGAAACCTCTGTAGCACATGATATCCTCTGGACACACCCCCGGCCCCCCACCCCTGTGCCAGCCCTGCAGGACACCTTGTGTGTGTGTCTGCAGGTTGGGGGTGGTGGGAGGGAGGCCACTTACCCTGTGGATTTGGACACATCCTGACCTCCCACAGCCTCTGCTGGGCTGTTGTGCAAAACGGGGCAGGGCCAGAACCTGGCCTTGGGGCTGAGGTGCGGCGCCCAGTGCAGGGGCCGAACCTGCCGCCTCTCCCTGTCTGGGTGAAGTGGCCCTGGGGATGGCCAGTGTTTGGACTTCTTGTCTCCTCATAGGTAAGAATAAGCGAGTTGGGAAACAGTTAGCCTCCCAGAAAATCCTTCAGCTGCTGCACCCACACGTGAAGAACTGGGGATCTTTGCTTCGCATGTATGGCCGGGAAAGCAGCAAGATGGTCAAACAGGTAAGCGGGGGTCCTGCCGTCAGGGGTGGACTCTTGGGCTCTGGGGCATGTCTGGCTGGGCGAGGCTGCGTGGGGAGGGGGCTGGAGTGCAGGCAGAGGCAGGAGGTGTGGGTGAGGGAGGGGAGTGAGCAGGCGCACCCGGGCGGCTCCCCTAGCTCCCCCCGCAACTGGCACCGGTTTGCCTTTGGGCAGCTCCTGTGTGTCACCTGTTGTGTTTCTGCTGTTTTGCCAAGATCTCGAGATTTTAGCCAATATCCTTAGGTTTTGTGCTTTTGGGGTGGAGAACAGGGAAGTGAGGTTTGTGTTCTTGGATTTTTCCCCCTGATGTTAACATGAGTGGTCTGGATCGTTGGCACCCCAGTAAGTGGTGGGCGTAGGGGGTAGGGGCTGCAGGTGGTGACCCCTAGGACCATGCTGTGGGCCCTGAGGCTGTCCCTGCAGAGCTCCTTGTTCTGGGCATGACAGGGCAGGCGAGGGAGGCGACACTGGCCCCAAGTGCTGTCCTGCTGGGAAGACTCTGCTCTGGTCACTTCAGTCTGAGGGCTCTGGGCACAGAGTGCCCTGTCGGGGCACTGGCTGTCGGGGGCTATGCCCAGGGCAGGAGCAGAGGCTGCTCTGTGCAGGGAGGAGGCCATGTGGGGGTGACATGGTCAGCAAGGGAGCGGGGACTGTGTTGGCCTGCATATGGGTTGAGGGTGGGCTGGCCGGTGTGCCTGGGGCCCCAGGCTGTCCCGTCAGCAAGGTCCTGCTCCCCAGGAGACCTCGGACAAGAGCGTGATTGAGTTGCAGCAGTTTGCCCGGAAGAACAAGCCAAACCTGCACATCCTGAGCAAGCTGCAAGAGGAGATGCGGAGGCTGGCAGAGGAGAGGGTGAGGCCTGGGGCCCACCGTCCTCACACATCAGGCCTGCCTGCCTCTGGGCTGCACTTGGTCTTTGGTTAAATTTGAGACCTGGCAGCCCTGGCCTCCCGTGTGCTGACCTGGGGTCCCTGTGGGTCCCTCACCGGGGTCCTCAGGGGTTCTGTGAGGGAGTGTGGGACTCGTGCCAGGGAAGCTATGGGGTCCCTTGTGTCTGTGACCTTGATCTCTTGCTTCCGGGTTCATCCTGGTCCAGAGGGAACACTAGTATATGATGGCATTCAGGGAGACTCTCCTGCCTGGCAGCCCACCCCTCAGGCCTGCCCTCCTGCCCGTCTTCTGGGCTTACCCCACCCCACCCCCCTCCCCTAGAGCCTCTTGCCCAAGGTTGGGCTGTGTGTTCCCACATCGCCTACATCCCTGACCTTGGCTGTCCTTCAGGAGGAGACACGGAAGAAGCCCAAGATGTCCATCGTGGCGTCTGCGCAGCCTGGTGGGGAGCCCCTGTGCACGGTGGACGTGTGAGGGAGGCGGCAGGACCGGGCTCAAGGCCGCCTGCTCCGCTGTGGACAGTCCACACTGCTTGCTCTGCAGCCTCGGGCTCCGGTCTAAGGTCCTCCCCTGCAGCTGCATATCTGAGACGGGGACAGCCAGGGCCACCCCCAGGTCTGAGCGGACGTGTTCCAGCATCAACTCAGCCTCCGCACAAGTGGAAGCCAAGAGCTTGAAGGTCGCTGTGGTCTCTGCTCGTGTGGACTTGCTCCAGACCGGTTTTATGAAGGTTTCCATGAATTTTAGTATATCACGTGCACTGACCAGCAGTGATAGTTGGATAACATGAAATGAGAAAGCCCTGTGCCTGCAGCTCCCGTGGGCACCGCAGGGCCCTGGTCAGAAGTGTGCGCCTGCACCCCACATCCCCTTCCCTGCCTCCGGTGTTTTCTTTTCTTTTCTGAAAAAGTTACAATAGGAAGGAGTATTTTAGAACTTTTAAGTTTAAAATAAGCTTCAGCATCAGAACTATTTTTCAGAGATTGCAGGCAAACCATCAAGGTGTATGATTCTTCACCTTGAAACGCATTGCCAGTGGGTGAAGTCACCTGGCCCCACCTGGCCTGCCATCCTGGCCCCAGGCTGGGATGCTGTTTGTTTTTTTGAGCAAGTCTTAATGCCCCAAACACGCCTTCTTAGAACACTGAGGCCCCTCATCCTCACTGGCCTCTGGCAACTTTTTACTAAATTTTTGCACAGTGAAGTCCATCTCCACCCATCAATTTTTAAAGCTTTTATGATATTTTAGCATTTGGGAAGAAACTTTTTCGATGAGAGTAGAAGATAGATTTGGAATCATGTAGCAGATATGAACAATTAATGCATTTTAGCTTGTGGACTTATTTAGAGGAGACAAGGACCTTCAGTGCAGCCAGTTCTCAATTGCAGGCTGGCGTGAACACGTGGAAGGAGTCCTGCGCCGTGTGATGGCGCAGGATTTCTAGAGCAGCCACCCTGTGTGGCCTGGTCTGGTGACCAGCAGTCTGCTCTCCAGGTGGCCCCTGTGGACGGGTGTGCAGTAGTCTGTCCCTACCCTGAGCCCCAGGGGACATGGCTGAGCTTGGGGCCCTGGGATGTCCCCATGTGAGCTGGTGGTAGTGAGCCATTGGCTCCTGCCCCCCAGCACCTGTTGAGGACGCATGTGCTCACGGCGGCACCCCTTCCTCACCCCAACGTGACCGGGGTCAGCTCCCATGCTGACCCTTGTAGGACAGAGCCCACAGGCAAGTTGCTGTAATTACACTTTCATGTGTCTCGCCCTGTCTGCAGTTGTGAATAACCACCTGACCAGGACTGTTTGCCCTTAAAACAGCCAGATGCACCATCACAAACCAAAGCTTTGTGCACATGTTCTTAGAGGCAGGCGAGCCTCGCCACGGCCTCCCTAGGTCCCCCTCCCTCTGTGCCCTGTGTGCAGGTGCCAGTGCCATGTGAACAGTCGTGTTGTGGGGGCAGAGGGCAGCGAGAACCTGTGTTGAGGCCACCACTCCCCACATATTTCCCACGTGGCAGCTGGACCATGGCTGTAAGGACGAGCCCTGATTGTCCAAATGCATAAATTAAATCTATCCAAAAAGAAATGGTCTGTCTTACTTTTAACAGGTGGGGGGAGGGGCTGTGGACCCTCAAGTAGCCAGACCCTTTGAAGGCCAGGGCATTTGGCCGGACACAACAGTTCCCACTGCCGCCAAGCAATGTCCCAGCCCCACCCAGTTCCTGTGTTACCAGGAAATAGCCTCCCTTCAGGGATGGGGCTAGAATGAGGCTCAGGAATGTCTAAGCCCTGGGCCTGCCTGTAGTGGGGAATGTCAGCGGGGCTGGTGCTGTGCCCTCCACCCCAAGAAGACCCACATCTTTGCTTCTCTGAGTTAAACATAAAACTAGATACTCTATCAACAGCAACTTCTGCTGGGATGCCTGACGGCACAGAGGGGCTGGGGGAGTTGCTCTGACTGGGCCAGTTCTTGGGGTGCCCTTTGCACCTGTGGGGAGGGCAGAAGAAGCCTCGTGTGCCAGGCTCTGGGTTCTTGCCACAAACATCAACAGTTGGGCACCTGTTTATTCTGTCCCTTGTGGCCCAGCTGGCCTGAGAAGGATGGGGGTGAGGGATAGCCGGCCACAGGAGCCTACAGGGACAGTTGGTCTGGTCTTCAGTAGCTGCTGCCTGTGTCCTGGGGCGGGGAAGGGCCCTGGAAACCCCTGGGCTTCTGCCCGTGATGCAGTCCAGGTGCTGTTCTGGAAAAGCTGGTTTCTGCTGCCCCAGGGTCCTAAGAAGGCGGGGAGGTCTGGGTTTCCTGTGGGGTGTCATCTGGCAGCCCTGGTGGGGGCTTGGCTGGAGGATCCCGGGGCTCCAGGGCCCCCGCGCTGAGAGGGTGCTCCACCCTCTCAAACAAGACCAACATCTCACAGTGCGGGGTCTGCGGGAACAGGTCCACGGCCACAGCCTTGACTGGCCGGAAGGGAGTGCCCTTGACGCGGTTGGATGGAACCCTACAGAGGCTGTAGAGAAAGGGGTGCCGTGGTCAGCCACTGGGTCTGGCAGGGACTCCTGGGGGGTGGGGGGAGGCTGGATGTCGGGCCCAGTCCACCCAGGCCTCACTCACTCCACAAAATTGCCCATTGCTGCCCGGGGGTTGCAGGAGACGTACAGGAGCCGCTTGAGGTTCTCGGCTCTGCGGATGGCCAGGATCACCTTGGAATCTGGGGAGATGCACACCCCTCAAGGGAGAGTCCTCCAGAGCCCCCCTCAAGGAGGAGATGGAGGCCTGAGCCACCCACGTGCTGCTGCCCCCGCCCAGACAGAGACCACTCACGCAGTCCGGCACGGGGCGGATCCAGGACAGCAACGAGCTGCTGGGAAGCCAGTCTGCTCACTAGGGTGGGCACCAGGTCCTCCGCCCTCCCACAGTGGAACTCGACGTTGCTCAGCTCTGCAGATAAGCACAGCAGTCCTGCCAGGGGACCTGGGCCCCCTCCCCATGGGCCCCCCGCCTGCCTGTCAGGAAGCCCACAGAAGGCACCTTAGGAAAAACTTTCCCGTAGGGCAGCCCCAGGTGTCATGAGCACATGACAGATTTGCATGTAGACCCTCCTGCACCCTCCGCCCTCCTGTTGTGGACCCCCTGCCCACAGAGCACTGGCTCACCATTGTCCAGGGCATTCACCCGGGCGTCCTCCACAGCCTCCTGGCACAGCTCGATCCCCACAACTCTCTTCACCTTCTGAAGCAAGGACAGGGCAGACCGATAGCACCCCACCCCACCCTGAGGCCTGTGCAGGGGGATGAGGGTGGGTGCGGAAGATCTGGAATAGGCTGGGGGTCACAGGGCAGGTGACAACGTGTGGGGAGGGCAGGAGGGCTCACCCGGGCCAGGGCCAGGCCGATGGTGCCGGTGCCACAGCACACGTCCAGCACTGTGGTCCCCAAGTCCAGCTGGGCCCAGTCCTGGATGACTGTATAGAGCACCTCGGCCGCGGGGGTGTTCACCTGGAGCACAGGCCAGGACGTAAGAGCAGCCCTGCTGCCCAGGCTGCATCCTGTCCCCAGTGCCTGCATCCCCAAGCACTCATCCTCTTGGGCACCTTGGCTCTCTCACCCCCTTCCCTCCCTCTAACTGCCTAGGCCCCCCCATCCACCATGCCTAGTCTCTGGGCTCTAGAAAACAACTCAGTGCCAACACCCACCCAAACATGCTTTCTTCTGAGTACTGAATTTGAGGGAGCACCAGCCCTGCAGTGGGCACTGATGACCCCACCAAAGCCCGTCATCCCGACTCCCGCCCCGTATATGACCCACCCGCTGGATTGTCCCCAGGGTCTAACTAGTGACAAAGGAACTGCTTGTGACCCTTCTCTACCTCACACCTTTGTGGCTCTTCGCCTGGGTGCTCTCCCAGACCATGGCAGGCTAACCCCTCACTGCCATCTGGCCCGCCAACCCCACGCCTATCCTGACGTCATACCAGGCCTCCGTCCGTGCATCCTTGTGACCCCCAGGGACTCTGGCTACCTGGAAGAAGGCGTGAGGGGAGATCCGGAAGGTCAATCCCAGCAGGTCCTCGTGGATACACCGGTCCCCAGCCACGTGCTCCAGAGGCAGGCCCTCCTGACTAGGAGCCTTTCTGTGGGCAGTAGGGTGGGTCTGTCAGTATCACCAGTCCTCACAGGAACCTGCCCCGCCCCACCCCACCCCACCCAGGCTACTCACCGCTGTCCCTCCTCCACGAAGTAGAGGCAGGTCACCCCACTGGCCTTGCCTGGCCCCACCATGAAGTGCTGGGCCAGAGAGGCCTTCAGCGCTGCCAGCTCCTCAGGGGTCAGTTTCTGGAGCAGGCAGTAGAGAAGACTGGTAAGGCTGTTTCGCAGTCCACTCCGGCCCGGACATCCCTCCCCAAGCAGGCCACCCGCTGGAGACCTGGGGGTGAAAGTAGGCAATGGCCATGGCTTGGCCACGGCGGCTGGTGCGCACAGTCAGCTGCTTCCAGTGGCCCGAGTACGTCTCGGGGTCGTAGGCCGAGTATGGAGTAGACCTGTGGGAGCCACAGACAGCCCTGAATGCCTAATACCTGCTGACCGGGACTGGACGATCAGCCTCCCTGCCTTCCTCCAGCCACACCCACCAGACCACAATCGCAGGACCCCCCCACCCCACCAGGCAGGACCCAGACTGCCTCATAATGTCCTGGAGCCACCAGCCCAGCCACGTGTCCTACCGGATGAACTCCTGGAAGGCCTTCACCACCTGCTTGGTGGCCCCGGGGATGTGCAGGGTGTCGTATGGGGCTGCCACGGCACACGTCCCGCCCTTGTACTTGCCGAGTCGGCAGCCAACTGTGTTGTCTTCCCCATCCACCCCGATGCCGACCAGAAACTCACACTTGTTGCGGTACTCGGTCTGTAGGGGAGAGCGGAGGGGGACGGAGACATGCCCACCCTTAGCCTGCCTGGCGTGCACGCCTGCCTGGAGGGAGCACCGCAGCCAGTGAGAGATGGTGCTGAGCGAGGCCCCGGTTCCCCACAGGGCTTGACGGTCGAGGGGACAAGGCTGACAACCCCTGTCACGTGGGGAATACCAGGCGCAAATGCAAAGCAGGGAGGGGGCAGGAAAAGCTTCTGTGAGAGCAGAAGGGAGCCTGACCTGCTGGGGTGATGGCCTGACCCCCTCCAGGGGGCAGCAGACCTTGTTGTGCTTGTGCCTCTGTGAGGGCAGCCAAGGAAGCGTGGCGCGGCTGGTGCTCCCAACTTCCCTGCGGGGCAAGGTAGGGCAGAGCTGTGCTCAGCCGGCTGCCCCTGCCCTCCCGGGCCACTCTCCCCGACTTGGGATCTCAACGTCCAGAGTGCTAACAACAGGGATCTTGCTGGCTAGTTCCCCAAGAGAATGTCCAATGCACAAGGTGGGCTGTGCGAGCAGGGAGCTGACAAGAGCTCTGCCGGGGTGCCCACACCCACACTCACTTGGCCAGCTTCTGCAGCACCTGCTCACATTCCAACCGCTTCCGCTCAAGCTGCTCCTCGTAGGGCACGGCCCAAAGAGGGGTGACTACATCAGCGATGCACGTGGCCAGTGGGGCCGGCGGCTCACCCTCATCCTCACGCTGCCTCTTCCTGGCCATGGGATCAGCCTTGGGCCTGGCCAGACGCACGCTGAGAGGGCGGCCCTTCCACAGGGCTCCATGCAGCACTCGCAGGGCCTTGTCGCGCTCGGCGGCGTTGCGGAATGTCACGAAGGCGCAGGGAGGCTGCCCGAAGAGCTTCGTTTTGTGGGGCTGCAGCCCAAAGCGGCCCAGGAAGCGCCGCACGTCGCTGAAGCTGGCGTGGCGCGGTACGTTCTGCAGCTCCAACTTGAAGATCTCCGAAGTGAACAGGCCCGCCCGGATGTAACTGTAGGGTCCAGGCGGAGCCCCAGGCCCCGCGGCCTCGGCGTCCTGCTCCTCCTCCTCCTGCTGGGGTCCTGGGGCCGCGGGGCTGCCCGGAGCGCCGGGGCCGTCCTGGTCGGGGCCCTGCACGTGCGCCCGGCCCTGGGTGGAGACGGCAGACAGGCGGGCTGGCTGGGACCTGCGCGCCCGGCCCTCTGCCCTCCTCGCCGCGAGCCTCCCGCTCCCGTCTCACCGCCCGCCCCCGGCTCCGCCAGGATCTCCCTTCTCCGTACTCCGCTGTCGAGCTCGTCATCCATCGTCCGGTCCGTCCGTCACCTCGTCCAGGGCCTGGCACACAGGGGACGCGCGGAGAGCGGGGAGGCCGCAGGGCCTCTGGCACTGCGGGGGCGGGACTCGAACCCTTGGTGTTTAAGGCGGGGTCACGGGCTTGGGCTGCGCCGCCCGCCCGCCAGGGGCCCGCGCCCGCGGATCGCCTCGACGGCAGCTCTCCTGTCGGCCGGCGCGCGCAGCCCAGGCGGCGCGTCTCTATCGTCCCGGCTTCCGGCGACGTAATCGTCACGCGCCGCTCCGACCCCTAGCTCGGTCCTCAAGCTCGAGGGGCGCGCGCGGCCGAGGAGCGGAAGTGCGCGCGAAGGCCGCCGGGAGTGCGCGCTCCCCCGACTACCAGGCGGGCCGGGCATGCGCCGCGGGCGTTTTGGCGGGAAGCGCGGGGCGGGCTGGACAATGAGAGTGTCCGCCTCCTGAGCCAATAAAGCTGCGCTGGTTTTGAATCGCGTCGTGTTTCCCGCCGCCGGGGTCAGGGGTCGGGGTTCGGGTCGCGGGGCGGAGGGAAGAGCGAGCGAGCGGGCGAGCGAGCGAGCGGGCGGGCGGGAGGTGCCGGCGCCAGACGCGGAGGAAGGAGCTGCGACCAGCCGCCGAGAGGCCGCGGAGCCAGCGACGCCCGAGCCAGCCGAGCCGCCGCCGCCGCGCTCATGGCGGCCGCCAAGGTGGGCCGGGCCGGGCC